TCTGTCAGTACCGTTAACGAAGGCAGCATGTTAGTACGCTTAAGGATACTCTCTGTCACTTCTATAGTTCTATTCCCATTTCGGTCTGCAATGCCTCCTGAATGACATAAGATTGAGAAAGCATTTTTCTGAGTCTCTTCGTGCATACATATTTAAGACTCCAAAAATGGTGTTTTGCCCCGTGGATAATCTGTTTGCCACGCAATCCATGATTATGCATTTGACATGTGCAACAACTTTTGTCTGTCTAAAATCTGTTGGAGTGGAGCTAGTAATTGAAAGCAATTTGCTTTGATTGCCGCGTTTGGTAGATTGCGTTGGGAAACATAGAATTTTTACAGCCTAGACAATTGTCTCACAGTGGTTTGATTTTGCCAACCCTTTGCAGGGATCAATGCCTGTGGCGTTGGGGAATTTGAATTGTAGTCAGGAGCAGCCAAGTCCAATTTCAGTTTTGGAACCATCCTTTGAAGAAGATGACAACCCAACTCCAGAATCCTTTGGTAATAATGATAGTCCGACCTCCATTATTTACATATTGAGAGATGTCTCTTTTTTTACCTCACCGTATACTCTTCTAAAAAAACAGGAAAACAACCGCTTGGTCATTCTCTCAAGTCTAACTTGATAGACAAGTCCCCGCCAATAGAATCCATTGCCCGGACACTCTCATGGGATGATTCCTGTTTCGAAACATCTCCTTCATATCAAAGAAGATCCCCCATGGTTTGCTCTAGTGCGGAGGAGGAAGAACTGGATTGGCCTGTTTTTGTCACAACGGTTCTGTCAGCAGCCGGCTTTGATAGTGAAGTGCAACCGGATACCTTTTTTTCGAGGTGGCATTCGCCTGAAAGCCCATTGGATCCATCTTTGCGAGAAAAATTTGCGAACACAAAGGATGTTAAGGAACCAATGCCTGAGGCGAAGCGGAGGCAAAGAAGGTCGGAGCGAAAGCTTGTTTTCGACTGCGTGAATGCAGCACTGGTTGAAATCACAGGTTGTGGACCAAGTTTGGGCCCAATCGACTGCAAGGCCCCAAATGGAATGTTAGAGCAGACATTATCTATAACGGTGGACCATGTGTGGGCTCGAGTGACGGAATGGTTCCCCGATGAGGTTAGGTGCGTTTCAAGTGGCGATGGGGGCAGCAACAGCCTGGTGGTGGAGAGAGTAGTGAGGAATGAGGTGGTTGGGAAAGGGTGGATGGAGCAGTTGAGCTTGGAAATGCATAGCGTGAGCAAGGAAATAGAATGGAAGTTGCTCGACGAGCTTGTGGATGAGGCTGTTGTTGATTTGACAGGTGGACTGTCATGAGCTCTTCTTCGTGTTTTTTGCCTCTCTGTGTATATCGTTACTCTATTATCTGTGCATTCTGGTGGATGTTGATAACCAGCAGAAAATGTCTCCTTGTCGTTCTCATTATTTAAAGCTGCAAATGTTTCACTAAGCATTAATTTTTTTGCTTCCCCAATTTGTGCACCTATTAATTTTTAGCACGTAGCTTTGCTCTACCTGACATGACAGCCTATTCCCGTCGAGCGATGGGCATCGTCTCTTTCGCAAAGATATGTTGTTGATTCCTAGTGGCTGAACTGCGTATCGTACATTTACATCAACTTGCTCCTTGTCCAGTTGATTCGGGTCCTTATTATACATCTAGTGTTTCATTAGGGTCCAGTTGTTGGTGATCATAGTCAAGACTTTTGTAGGACATGCCACTTCAGGTTGACTCACCACTTTCAGGAACCGGACAAAACTGACTGAAAACTATGGATTAACAGGATGGTGTGCATTACTTGGCATTTGTTTTCTCTTCTCTGGCTCAGGACAGCTTGTATGACTGTTGCCTACTTACACTACGCTGTCTTTCTTTAATGAATTGGCAAAAGAATAGATTCTAGGCTTTGTCGTGCTTCGCGTCATCTTATTGCTTGGCGGAGCATGTAACGACAATCAGTTGCTACAACAAGGTTCTTTGCCTGATGATTAACTATTAGGCTAGATTCTCCATCGTTTCCAAGCAACAAGATCCGATTTCAAGCCGTTTCGTCTGCATTACGACGCCGGAATCTTGAAAGCGCACAGGTGAGGTGGTAATCAGCGAAAGAACAAACTTTGTCTTGCGCTCACCCGTTTAACGATTCTCAAGAGTACTCTGGAGATCTTCATTTTCTTCTTTCTTTAATCCTTTTGCTTAGTGGGTCTTGGCGTAGAGACTTTGTTTTTTGTGGGGTTGGTCCAAGCCAAGCCATGCCATGCCATATTTATGGAAGGTTATGAAGTAGCGATGAGATTCATCCGGCGGTTGGCCACGGCGAACCATAACGAAAACGAAAGCAATAGTTATGGCAGCTTGGTGTCGAAGTACCCATCTCTGCTTGGGACAGGATAGAATATAATGTGTCATCATCCTTCGAGAATGCGAAAAACGTATTTAATATGTCCGTTTCGGAGAATTTAATGCATGCACTTCCTGTACAATTTTAGAGCGTGGCCTACTAAAGAAACGTCCGGGACCGCGGAATAAATGACCCATCATCGGTCTGAATCTATCTTGATGACGATCTACTTTTTATCTTCATCGGTGAGGGTTTCAAGAAGTGTAAATCTTGCAGAGAACCGAAACATGAATAATGATATTTGAGATAGCCCATTATGCTTTGTTTGTTTACCTAGGATTACGAGAGTTTCGATTTCAAAATATCGATTTTCAATCTTTCCCAGGCTTTAATAACCCTTTTCGTATATGGTTTTCGATATAGCTTCACGCCTTCACTGGATTGGTGCCGGCCTTGGGAGTTCTGTTCCGGCAATGGCTGTTTCTTTTCCCCTGATTTCGGTAGTAGCTGCTGAGATTTAAAAGAAAAAAGATCAAAATGTAACATGGATAAATCTTCTGCAATGCAATTTCGACCCTCCAAGTTTTAGCATACTCGAAGTGCCCCAATCTAATCGCACTAATCTCTCGGTAAAATCAATAAGAAGTTGGACACGAGATTGGATAAAAATCTTGGAAAGTGCTCAGCCTCCAACCATCAATGTAGGAGATCTTGATCTATACTTTAACCACCGGAACTTGTCGAACTTATCCTATGATATAAGAGCTCTCTTCCAAAGCTCAAGAGATGCGAATTGCGATCCTGAGTTTGATCTTCTGAGTCCCCGCTACTACTCGTCACATAGCTATTTACCGATGTTGTTCCTCTCCTACATAGTCCAGTGTGTCAGACTTATGGTAATTTTTTCATATGAATTTTGTTAACAAGCACTCGCCGACGGTTGTTAGACGCTTAAATAAAGAGAGATTGTTACTTCCCATTATATTATCTTTTTCGTATCATGTATATCGGTACATTGAAAATGACAATTCTTATCTGTTAAGTATGGTTAGCGAGTATCCCGAAAATACTCATTAATTAGATGCCTATTTTTCTTAAGTCCTCGGTTACATAAGCAATCGACCCATCACTCCCCTGTAAACGGCTGAACCAAAACCGAAGGTCTGGCCCTCGTGAGGGTTGCTTACAGTAGGAGTACAATGTTATGCGCAGGTCCTATTGCCTCCCCAAAATTCCCGAGGAAGACACTGCAATGAAACTCTGCAGAACAACGGACATAGGATGGGGGTTGAGACCATTCTCATTAACTCGTGGCAGTGAGGGGGCGGTGTGCGGACACTGAATATGAGAAGCCCTCTCTGTCTTTCTTCTTCTTCTTATTTTCTTTTCGTGGCTTTATTTAACACGTGTTACACGAATCCAATGTCGTCAGGCTAATGAAGAGATAATTTGTCCTTGAATTTTAGCTTAGTATAGTACCTAAATTTTTAATTTTAGCTCAATGTGTAATATCGTCCCTAAAATTTTAATTTGTTCAATATAGTCCATGAACCTTTGATAAATGTTCAATCTACTCCCTAAACTATATAAAAATATTCAAGGTTATCCTTCCATTGATTCAAATTTAGGGACCAAATTATACATCAGGCTAAAATTCAGGGACCACATTAAAAAAATCAAAAGTCCAAAGACGACATTACACATTGAGTCAAGGTTCTAGAAGCATTTGTGACATTTTCCCAGCTGATGAACAAGGCCACGAGTAATTATAAAAAACAAAAAAAAAAAAAAGACAAGGCCACGAGGGCGTTCTTTATTCAATGCTGGGTTTGTGCACGGATCGACATAGGCCTACTTGTTCTTCACTCAGATTTCTCGGACGGGCTGGTGGGTCATATGGTATCATGTCATGCAGGAATGCACTTATTCATTTGACGTGCAGCGTACGATATTTCCTTCCTTTATCTTGGTTTCACTTCAGCCCTGCCGGATTAATTGCAGAGGCGATCGATCGGTAGGCCCCCAACAGGCCCGTCGAGAAATACCCCGGCAGGCAACGGTACGAGTTGGGCAGCACACGGCCTCCACTAGTCGAACCCCGGACCACAGACACCCAATTCTGCTCTTCCCATGTGTCTGCTCGGGATACTAAACTTACGTCCTTGCCCGAGTCTGCTCTACAACTGAGAAAATTAGAAAGTTCCAAGCAATTATGTCGGCTCTGTGGGCCAGGCCGATAGGGGGATACTTGCTGGCCCACCATGAAAAAATTAGTTGGGTCCAACATCGCCGAGCCCCAACAGCCCAAAATACATGAACCCCAGCCCGTTCGATGATGAGCAGGCCAATTGAGATGACAGGCCAAGATTCACCTCTCCTCTATTTACATGGCAATTCTAATTCTATCTTGCAAATTCACTCCAATCACAAAATGTACTCTCAAATTTCATAAATGGTGACATGCTTCCACGAAAAATTCACCGCAAGGTAGCACACGGGAGACCAGTTCATCATGGCTCCACAGGCCCCTGAAGTATATGTGTAATTTCAGATTCAAGCCTTTTAACTCCTGTCATGCACTGTATAAGCATTTAAGATGTTTCCATCTGATGAAATGAACGGGATAGGTTCAGCAAAAAAGTAACATCATAGGGGGGAACGTGAAGTTGAATCACAGATGTCATTGTAGTGAAAGTACTCCGAAAAGTTCATGGACACAAGAATATTATGCTACAAGAGAGACAGCAAAACTAAACGTACACGCACCGAACAACTGTTAATCACGTATGAACAACCGTCATGCTGCGTAGTACGAATGGAGTGTCATCCGCCCATGCCAATGAAAACCAACCCCCCCAATCAAGCTAATAGTACTCTTCTTTACAAATGACCTTTCAATGCTAAGCACATCACAAGTTCTATCTCTAATCAATGTGCAATATGCTTTCAGTCAAACCCACGTGGCAAATGCTTTCAGTCACTCGTGGAGAATGGGGAATTTTCTTTTCCCTTGCCTCCAAGATACAGGATCACATCCAATTCCGATCACTTTGTTTTTGTACTACCTGATGCGTTCTGGCTGTCTGAACCGAATTTGGCATTGTTGTTCAATCCGTACTAAAACAAAGAAATTACCATATAAAATCATCAAATTCACCAAACAAAATAAGGCGGTGGACTTAATTGTACTATCCAAATACAATTAATAATTACTTTTGGAAAGAATACCTTTTCTCTCACGAGTGAACTCCAAATACCAGAGTGACCACCTCTAACATCAGACTTAGCAGGCCCTGATGTTGGGCTTGATTTATGATTTAGAAGTGGCTCTCTGGTCTGACCTTCAACATTGTCATAACCATCCAGACCATCATAATCAGCTCGCCGAGGAGAAGCCAATGCTCGCAAAACAAATGAAAGTAGCAGGGACAACCCCTGAGCACAAGAGAAAACTCCATCTTAGCACTAGGCAATCTAATGGACAAAGCGCAAAAGGCTAGATGAATTTATATCCCGTCTTTCATTTCGCACAAGAATCACCAAAAGTGAACTTTCTGGCGATAATTTCCCCATCTAAAGTTCAGCGAATCAGCGAATCAAATGGTAATTTATTGTTCAATTATCTGGGATGAAAAACCATCCACCTCACAGAAAACGAAAGATATTATGAGGAACATGATTTGGTAAGTTGAAGTTCCTCGTAAATTTGGGTATGAAAAGTGAGACAGAGATACAAAGACCCAAGAGCTAATGAACAGGTATTGCACTACAGTTACAAAAGTGCCCCTCGGATTAGATGCAACTCAAAGCACCACAGTGGGGTCTTCATAAAACTTTGTTGTTGCCTCCTCACAAAGACATGCACCCAAACCTAGATGCAATCCTTTGTCTCCAACAACTTATCTCTTTCAATTAATCGGGTGATTAACATAAGTTATGCTGCCTCTTAAATTAATGAATTCCGGTTATATTGCTAAAATATATAGGATGAGTATCTATCAAGCTCAAAACGGTTTGATGCGGTAGAATGTTCGTTGATATCCAACTATAAGAAAATATAAAGACGACAACATGATTACCACAAAGTGGAGTCAGCACATTGATCAGTTCCCCAGCATTTTCCGATGCATAGGTTACTTCTAGCAATTGCCAACAATTAACCTATAAAAATCAGCTCAATAACCAATGATTATCTAACCATTATCAGTCCAACAAACCATCATCAACACCTGTTCAATTTCTTGAAGCTAATGATATCCTGAAAGAATGTCAGCTTACCAACCGATTATGACCTAATAGCAATCACTGACCAACCATCACCAACACCCATTTCTTGTGACTAGTGATATCTATAAGCAACTACAAGTAACAGCAAATCAGCTGTCATCTATCATCATCCTCAACATCCTCTCCACCATCATACTTCTCCATCCCAACGAGAGTTTACCAGCTATGCACAAAAACGAATCCATGAGAATCATTTTAAAGGGGGGATTTTCAAATTTTAAAGCTGCTCAGATTAAGGCAGTTGACAGAAACAAAGCCCAGGTACAGTCACACAAGTATGCTCACAAGAAAAATTGGGTGGACAGTTACATCGCGGATCAACAGGATTCATAAGTAGGTCAGAAAACGTAATTTTGAATCATCATTTGTGAAGGGACCATAAATCAAAAAAGTAAGACAACCAACCTGTACTACAACGACGGCAATGCCAATCCACTCACACATTTCAATGTTGCTTTCAATAAATGAGCGAAGACTATCAAGTTCTCCGGTGGGGTCCGAAGGAAGAATCTGTAAGGGGTAATCGAATCGATGTGATGAACAAGAACTAGCAGAAACGATGATCAATCTATTATAGAGAGAAAGTTACCTGTTCCCAATGATGATCAATCGCAATAAACGCCACCAAAGCTGCTTCTAAGAGAAGGAGCACAGATACAAGAAGAGTGTACTGGTTTTTGCGATTTAAGGGAAAACCTTATAGACTAGCAGAACAACGGAGTCATTTATACAATTTGATGTCTAACATTCATCTTAGGTTAAAAACACAATTAAGAAATTCTGTAACTGTCCATTTACTTAACTTCTATTGTAGTATGTATAACCAATACTTTGAAAATCAAAGCATTCCTATCTAATGTATGGGCAATAGTTGACAAAAACTTAATTCAATGTAGTTTGTCAAAAACAGTGCCCTTAGAGAACTTATTAACGACCAAATAAGCAGATTTTTATATGTGCCAATTCACTTGCGGGTAATAACTACCTGCAAAATGAATTTCCTTATGAAATGTACTTGGCAAGTTCTAGTCAACAAGCCCAATTTCAATTACATGAAATTTGATGCAGAAGCTATTCTCAGATACTATGCTAGTAGGACAATGCATGATTGGCGATAAAAATCACAAAGACGTCCACAACCGGGATCAACACCCTCAGCTCGCCCCGCTAAGACAACCCACTCAAAGCCCCCCCTCCCTCTCTCCACTAGCTCCGTCAGTTCATCATGGCCAATGAAGATGTAATGGAAACACTAGGTACTTTTGAGTTCTAAGGTTGTATACTCATACTTCTTCAGTTCCCTGCATTCACGAAAGATGGCGCAAACTACGATCATTAGACAGCTCAACTTAAAGCAGGCCCTCCATATGGGCAGGATACAAAGCAGAGGCAACATCCATTTAATGCTTCCGCAGCAATGCAGCCAATTAAAGAGACGCAGCACAACACGATGCCCAATCCCATAAACGAATAGATGAACCTGCCACATTAAGAAAATCCATACCATCATTACCCGTACCAAAACTTTACAAAGTGAACCAAACTATATGCATATTCCATGCCGAATCATCACGATCAACCCAATCACCACGACATGCATTCAACGAGCAAACTCGAGAAGCAACGGTCGGCCGGCAAACGATCCGACTCCCACGAGCGGAGAACGTACCAAGGAGCGGGAAGCTCGAACGACCGCAGAGCGAGCCCCAGGCCGCCGTCCCATCTGGAGACCACGTCGGCGGCGAGCTCCAGGCCCGAGCTCCGGTCAGCGCGGGCCATCTCCGCCGACCGCGCGCTCGAGAGAGGCGCGGCCGAGGAGCCCGGCGGGTAGGCCGGCGGGGGGAAGCCGGGGGGCGCGGCGCGGTCGTTCCACTGGCTGAGCATCCATAGGGAGTAGAGGAGGATGGAGACTCCGACGAAGGCCTGCAGGTAACTCAGCAGCTTGAGGACGAAGCCGAGGGAGATGTGGCAGCAATTGCGACGCATCTGTGGCTGGGATTTTTAGGGCTTCGGAGGATCGAGTTCGAGCTCCCTGGATCGATGAGGGAATTGGGAGGCTTTCTCTTTTGCAACTTTTTTCGGTTTCTACGAAACGTCTGGATCGTCGCAGGATAAAAACCCGAAGGTTCGCGAGGAATATGCTGGGGCTTCCCCCGCTGCTGTTTCGTTTTCCGACCGATGGTGTCGGGACTCGGGGACCTACGACAGCAGGCTCATGTCTGATGAAAGTTCGTTCGACCCCGACGAAATTTTTTCTTTCGAATTTTAGAAATGTTAAAATTTTCTTTTAGTTGAACGTTTAAAGAATGCTCATGGATATTTAATGAGGAAATATTTAATTTCCAAATCGCTGGTTCAACGTATTTTCAGAACAGTGAGTACATCAGACACCGCAGGACTTCTGATTCTCAAAGCATCTTAGTCATAACTCGTAATAAAAAAAGGTGGTGTTTATGCCCCCAAACATGGTGAGTAATCTACATTTACTATCTACAAATATTGAGGGGCTTAATACTAGACCCTATGTGAACTTTAAGCACAAATCGCCCGATTTCCTGAAGCAGAGTATTCAATGCCCACCCGTGCATACGCGAGGACAGCCTCCAGAGCCGATGAGATGGAGAAAAGAAAGAGCAGCCTAATATGGACATCAACGGATCGAATCGAGTCTCAATTGATACCCGATTTGATCCGAACATGAAGAATACATGTTCCTTATGACTCAGACCAAAACCCGAACCGAAGAATTGATTCATGTAGGTTCGGATCAATTCCGGTTTTCCTATTTTTTCCCCTGTTTTTTCCTGACTGATCTTTGTTCATGTTTGCAGCTGGCAGAATGATATCTTGTAGATGATTCCAAATCAAACAGCAAACGAAACGTAAAAACATGCACCTTTCATCTATCGGGCCAAAAACAGAAGAAAAAACGAACAAAAAATATGTTCCATGCCGTTGCAAGAAGTGTTGCTTGTTCTTCTTCTTCTTCGGTGTCATCTGCGTTCGCCTTCACGCTATACGAGCCCACCAAAACGCGAGGAACCACATGGTTCTCCTCCAAGCGCCTGTGGGAAGCTCTCGATTCTTCATATCCTAAACCAACAGTTTGTCTCCTTCTATATAGTTCGAAATTGAAATGGAGTGTACTAACTTCCTACGTCATCGCTTGCTTCTCTGTTATTCTCTCTCGAATGGCTCGCGGATGAAGCTGCTGTTGGACGTTCTCTGCTAGCCATTCAGGTTTTCACAAGGAAGAAGAAGCGGTCGAAAGAGGCGGTTTTGGTCGAGCAAAACCAGCCTAAAGTTGAACCTCTTCTTAGTCGAAAAGTTAAGGCTCCGTTTGTTGCGCGGAAAACATTTTCCTCATTTTCCGACATTTGGATCGCTTCAGAAAATGAGTCAATAGAAAATGCTTTCTTAGTCAATGAAAAAAGTTTTCCTACCAAAGCTTAAATTTGAAAAAATGATTTTCTCTTCAAATAATCGGAAATTATTGTCCAAAACATGATTAGGTATCGGGGCTTGAACCATAAACTCTTCGCTTGGGCACGGGAACCCCAACGCTCATTCCCAGCCCTTGAAAGTGGGGTCGAGTCCACAGCGCTCGGGCCCGGGACACCGGTGCCAATGCTTGGGATGCTAGGCCCAATTATATCGAGGCTAGGCTCCGGTTGTCAATACCCGTGCTCAGTCCATCAAGGCTGGGCCTCGGACCTCGGGTCTCCAACTTCAGTTTGGGTCCATCAAGGTAGAGCCTAGGATTCCTGTGCCCATGCCTAGGTCCCCTGCACCCATGCCATGGTCCATCATTGTTGGGCCCGGGCCTCGAGCCCGTGCGCTGAGGACTAGGGCTTGGCCTCGATGGACATGGGCATGGGCACCAAAGTCTCAAGCCGACCTCGATGGACTTAGGTCTAGGTGCAGGGGATCGGGTGCTGTGTTCGGGGCATGGCCTCGATGGACCTGGGCGCAGGCACTAGTATCGGAGTGTTTGGCCCGGCCTCGATTAACCCCAGCTCAAGCGCTTGGTTCTAAGGCTCGGCCTCAATGGACCTAGGCCCAAGTGCCAGGCACATAGGTCCGGCCTCTGTAGACACGAGCCAAGGCGCTAGGGAGCTGGGCACGGGCATTGAGTCCTCGGGCTCAGTTTCAATGGACCCAAGACCATTGCCCGTGCTTGTGCCGGGAGTTAGGGATCTGACCTTGAGACGCCGATGCCTATGCTTGAATCATTGGCTACCCATGCGCAAGTCATTACAGCTCAAATAATGCATGTCTATTTAAGAAAACTAAATGAGATTTTCCTTACCAAATAACGGAAGATATTTTCTAATTCATTTTCAGGTCTCAGCCAAACATCATAATATATTATCATATTCACAGAAAATGACTTCCCAAAAAATATTTTTCAAAAATGTAACATGGAGCCTAACTAAGCACAACGTGTTTTTCGACCTTTATAGATCTAGGAGCAAAGTTGTTTCGATTCAGGTAGGTTCGGTTCGGTTTGGGTTTACCCAAAACCAACCCGAACCGAACCGTCATGATACCCAATTCTTTTACATCTTATCTGAATCGGAAAGAGACCCGACCTAAAAAGACCCAAAAATTTCGGTTGGGTTTGGCTTAGGTGGGGTCTTTTTTTGACACCCCTACTTATTGGTCCCATTCCATTACATAATAATGAGGAATTTCCCTTTTATGGGTTGGAGTGGGCTAGGATATCCCAGTTCTTAATGACACGGAACTATGGAGAGAAGTCGCACTGTTCCCTAACCGTAAGTATCGGCCCATCTTCTTTGAACGGGTTTCACTTCTCACCCTTAAATGACTTTGAATGTCAAGACCACGTTGACTCGAGGGTAGTCATGGCCACGGGCCGGTTTCGGCCCGGAACCGGCCTGGTTAAACCCGGGCCCAGCCCGTTGACTGGGCCAGCGGTTCGGAACCGGAACCGGCCCGTGGCCTACAGGCCCGGTTCCGGTTCTAGCAATTTTGGAACCGGCCCGGAACAGCCAAAAATAAAATTAAAAAATTTAAATAAATAAAAAATAAAAAAACAGAAAACCTGCAGCAGGGCCTGCACGTGCAGGCCCTGCTGCGGGCAAAAAAAAATAAAAAATAAAAAATAAAAATAAAATAAAAAGATAACCGGAGCCGGCCGGAACCGGCAGGAACCGGAACCGGAACCGGAACCGGCCCGGAATCGGAACCGGAACCCGCCCGAAATCGGAACCGGAACCGCCCGGTTCCGGTTCATACATGGCCACGAACCGGAACCGCCGGTTCTGAACCGGAACCGGTCGGTTCCGAACTGTGGCCATGACTACTTGAGGGCCTTACCAACACCATGGACACACCTATTATATTCCTTTTTAAATTAAATGGTCTTTGCTCCTCCATTTATTTTTCAAGAATCGAAAGTTCGAAGGTGAAAATACTTGTCTGGACCCGGTTTCCCGCGACGAAAAATTTCGAACGATGCTTACTCCAACACATCTAAAACGGATATGTCACGTTGCATGTCGATCGGTGAGCGACTGAAAAGTTTCAAATCATTCGAAATCGTAAGTGCAAAAGTCAAATTCTCTCATGCAAAACGTTCCCAACACGCGATCAAAGCAGATCCGTCAAGCCGTCTCCAAGCTTTACCTTGCCAAAGCCGGTCGAGAAGTAATTAATGCACGAGTTGAAAGGGGGCATCCTCCTAAAGAAACGCTCCGTCCAAAGGACCTTTTCCATTCTTTTCCTCGTTGGCAGCAATAATGGAGCTCGTCATCTTCAACTTCGGGCGGTGAAGCGAATTTAATGGCCGGAAAAAATGGCTGACCAAGTTACAGACGCCGTTAGAATTATCGAAGCTTCGAGCACGCCAGCTACTTTGGGGGGGTTTGGTTTAATGTCTAGCGGATCTACCTTATACTGCGACATAGCACCAACGTAATACTGCTTCGACATAAATGTAATCTACCTACTCTATAGTTGATTGGTAGCGTATGATCCACTCGACTTCTGTTGTTTCTCGAATTATAATTAGTAGCTCGGCCCAATATAATGAGTACAGCATATATGCTGCTAATTTTATACATTTTTTTTTTTAAAATCTTTCGTGCGCAATGTATCACGAGAGGAAACCGGGCGCAGCTACCTGGATTCGCCACGTATCGAATGTTGATTGGTCCTTCAGCCCGCTAGCACGGATTCTTTTTTTTATTAGGGATGATCGGTTTCAGGACGAGCGGTTCCCACCGTAGAACCGGAAATTGCCCACTAAAGACCGATTTCGATAAATTAGAACCGAGAACCGTTGGTTCCATGGACCCATCCCGGAACTGGACTGTGTCCGATATAATTTTCGGGTGGGTCCATGGAACTGCTCTCACCTACCCTCACCTGATCAATGACTTGTTTTCGAGCAAGTAATGAACTGGTCCCCCCAAGCTTCAGTTTTTCCAGCAAAAAAGAATGCCTGATTATTAATTGCCTTGTTGTTTGTAAAAAAAACTTCCCTATTCTTTAATTGCCCTGCCTCTCCATACCAGACCCAAGTACACAGAACAAACTCATTCAGCAAATTAGACAACTTTACCATGATATAACAATCACATGCAAAGAATACTTCACTTTCCTCTCAGTACTTTGAACAACGAGTAGATTGGAGAAATTAAAAAGAGGCAAATGGCAGCAATTAGGGTTTCCAACTTACAGCAATTGGAGACGACCAAGAGCGAGAGGGGGAGGCTAGACCGTGAGTTGTGTCTGCGAGGAACGGCTGGAGGTGTGGCCATGAGTCGATAGGAGTCAAGAGTCAAGAGACAGAGAGACCGAGAGAGTTGAGACAAGAGATCGAGATGAGACGAGATGGCGGGCGAGATTAAGGATTTAAGGTTTTAATTTTTCTTAAAAATTATATATATTATTGGTTTGGTCCGAATGAGCTGTTCCACACATAGAATTTTGAACCGGACTGGTACCCATTGGAACCACCGGTTATGAGTACTCCAGGCGATTCCCGATTCCTTTGCACTCCCCTACCTTTCAAGTAAGGTGAAAGGTTGCTAGGAATGAATCCCTGTGTCCGTCGTTCGCTTTTATCTTCTTTTTCCCGATATTCTAAAATATTTTCAGATTTTCTTTTCCTTTTTTTTTTTCACTTTCCTTTATACTGCTCTATGTAAAGATAAGGCCCAATTTTTCATCATTTTG